GCTATGGGGAAGTTTTTGGGCTGGTTCTCACTCACCGCCCTCACAGTTCATGCTGCCTGGGTGCCTCTGCACACACAGATCTAGGGAGGGCAGGGGGCCCGGGAGCAAGGACCAGAGACCGGGGTGGGACCAAGAGGCTGCCCTGCAAGGAAGGGGAGCAGCAGAGCTGTGGGAGGGATGACTCCCAACATCCCGGTGGCCAGGAGCTACCTCCTGCCTGTCAGCTTTGCTCCCTGTTCTAGGCAAGCTCCGCACAGCAGCAAGGAGGAGCTGGAACAGGAAGACAGTAATGGTGCTTTCGGCCACTGCACTGGCTGCCTGCAGCACTCCTCTCTGCTGCTCTGGGATACATCCAGAGGACTTCCGGGACCTGCAGGGTCCTGGGACCCTAGGTCCAAGCCCTAGGGTAGCACAATTGGTGTGTGCATGCAAAGGGAGTTAGGCTTGAGCCCAGGCTCGAGCCCGGGCTTACGTTGCTGTGTAGACATACCCTCAAATGCTATTACATAAATAGATGGGATGTCCTCACATAAAATACTGTGCTTAGTTCTAGCCATCCTATCTCAGAAAGCACACGGTAGAAATGATGTCTTAAGTTTTACTAATTAGCAAATGCTGGTAGAACTATTCCATTGCACTGCAGCCCAGTTTAGACAATTCTAGTCAGGCTATTATCACACTTGGCGCTAGTGGTGGTGATGTGTATTATACTATAGGTAAGGCTACAAGTCTTTCACGGAGGTCACGGATTCCATGACTTTCCAGGATCTCCATGACTTCTGCATTGGCCAGTGCCGCTGACCCCAGGGCCAGCTGCATCGGCCACTGCTCAGACGGCCTGGGGCCAGCAGTTTGTCCCAGGGGCTGCCCCAGAGCAGTGACGCTCCGGGCTGCCCCCTGCCCAGAGCATCAGCGACGGGGCCCTAGACTGTCCCCTGCCCGGAGCAGCAGTGACAGGGCCCCGGGCTGTCCCCCCCAGAGCAGCGTCAGCGTCCGTTGGAGCACTCCCGCCCCCCAACCCAGCACCTAAGATTTAGTTAGGGATATTTATAGTACAAGCCATGGACAGGTCAGGGGCTGTGACTTTTTGTTTCTTGCCCGTGACTTGTCCATGACTTTTACTAAAAATACTCGTGACTCAATTGTAGCCTTAACTGTTGCAGGCTTAGGCTGTTACAGCTTTCACACTATCAGATGCTTTGTGACAATGATAGGTTAGTCATTTAGGAAATTGGGCAGAGGATGTCACTATTCTTTACTTTTTGCAAGTGAGGGTAGGGGGAGGAAATGTTTACTTCAAATTAATTTTGGGTGTCATATTAGAGCTGAAAATCGGAGCTGTACATTTACACCCACACCTAAGTTTGATATTCAAAGGTGGTAAGGAGAAACTTGATTGGCAGTAGTGGAAGATTATTTTTAAAGCTCATGCCATTTCTACTACTTAGGAATACAGTAAAATATTATGTAATGTGCTGATGTATCCTTAAAGGCACAATTCCCTCATGATTAGGAACAGTGGCTGGAATATCATTACAGCTCCAAATGTTCGTTGCTTCTATTTTACAATGCTCTGACTATACATTATGAATATTTGGTTGCCTATAATGGAATCATGTATAATTTATTTAAACATGACAGTACATATTGTTCTGTTTCATATACAATGAAAACAGGAAAAAGCATAGCTAATTTAATAAAATGCTAAAAATAAATAAATTTTTCTGCGAAGATGCTTATGAAATAATTCACTTATAAGGCATGGTAACATGGCCAAGACAACTTACAAAAATGAAACTAATTAAAGTGAGAGGACTAATATAAAATTAGATTTTCATCAGGGGTTTAAACCAGCATAGCTAGAAAAAAAGATCAAAACAACAAGTATATGGGCTCAGGTAAGTAAAAATGACTTGCAGGACTCTTTTAAATGAACTTGTAATATTAAGGGTTTGCATAACAAAATTAATTAATAGAGGTCAAAATCTGTACTAGTTTACATCCTGTGCAACTCCACTTCTGTGAAGGTCATATTTGGCCCTACCTACAAATTTAAGATTGGTATTATTTTGGTTCGCATCCAGAGAAAAGAAAAGGGCATCAAGAGAGGGGGATCAAGAAATAGTCCCAGCTAAATCTCCATTTGGGACTTTGCACTCAAGAAGTAAAGAAGAGACTGAAAAGTCATTGGGTTTTTTTGTGTTTGTTTTAAAAGGAAATAAGTTATCCTTTCTGCAAACCCTACAGAGCATTATTTAGAGTACTTATCAATTTCACTAGTTGGGTTTTATTACTATTATGGAGTAAGAAAGCAGTCCTGAGCAGAGAAACTTCACTAATGTGAATTAGCCTTATTGTGAAAGTGTCCAAACTTCTCTGAACCAAATGGTATCACCTGTATGAGAGTTTGCTGGTGCAGGAAGCTGGAACAGGCACCCAAAAAAGCAGCTGTTACAGTGAATCTGTTTAATGCTTTCACACTGGAAATGATAACTGCAAAATTAAATTCTTGGACTCAGTTTAATATTTGTTTCATCTTTCAACAAAAATAAATGTTGAGAAGATGGATATTACATACACTGATACAGTACAAGTCCATACACTGATAAAGTACAAACAGGAATTGCAAAAACCATTGGATAAATTTTAATTTAGGTTATGAATTCATACACTGAATACTGATGTAGGTGAGGGGGAGCCACGCATACATAGAGAAAATCTGTGCCCTCCCTACCCTCAAGCCACCTCAAAGAAGGACCTTTTGAAATACAGTTGGTTCAAAAGCTTTCCATGAATTCTTTCATTCAATTTTAAGCTGCCGTATTTCCCCAATTATGATCCAGCCACTCCATTTCTGATATCCTTAAAATAAACATGCAATATGGCTGCAACAACTGCTGTAAGAGCATACTGGGTTTATGCTTTCTTTCATGCTACCCACTATCATGGAACAGTCTTCCTGAGCTGATACTCAAGGCCATTACCCTCTTCCTCATTCAAATTCCTCCTGTTGATCTCCCAGTTCTTCCGCAAAGCCTAAAAGAAATTAGTCTTCTAAATCATCCACTTATTTTTTCATCTTTAAAAACAACAAAAATCTTTTTTAATCATGTTGTGCTCTACCCTTCATATGGTCTTACTGATGTTGCCTTGTTCTCCCAACTAGCCACCACCTTTGTTCCATTGAATTTGAAAGTACCTTGGGGCATGGATCACATATTTTTAGACACGTAGTCTAAATGCTATAAATACACAAATTCTCCACACTTAATCTCTTTTTAGACTGTACACACTTTCTTTTTCTCAGTCATCATGATTCTTTTTATTGCCATTCTGTTATTTGTTCTAATTCTTCCTATACTTATAGTAATTTGGAGGAATCAGAAGTGTACACAATGAGTCAGATGCAGTTGCACCAGGGTCATATAGAGAGGCACTACTGCCCCTCTAATTTGACATTAAATTCCCTCAAGCAAACATAACAGCAAGGTCTTTTTAGTTTAACATATTTATTGCTTTCCAGATAGTGGTCCCCAAATCGACATGTATGGTGTTTATTTTCATAGGTTTCATAGATTCTAAGGTCAGAAGGGACCACTGTGATCATCTAGTCTGAACTCCTATACAACTCTGGCCATAAGACCCTGAATTAATTCCTGTTTGAACTACAGCATATCTTTTAGAAGAATTTCCAATCAGGATTTAAAAATCGCCAGCAATAAGAGATTGCACCATAGCCCCAGGTAAGCAGTTCCACTGGTTAATTACCCTCACTGTTAAAAGTTTGTGCCTTATTTTGAGACTCAGTTTGTCTAGCTACAATTTCTGGCCATTTGATCTTGTTATATTTTTGTCTGCTAGATCAAACAGCCTTGTATTATCATATTTCTGTATCCCATACTTACAGACTGTGATCAAGTCACCCCTTAATCTTTTTTTGTAAAACTAAATAAATTGAGCTCATTGAGTCTTTCACTATAAGGCATATCTTTCAATCCTTCAACTGTTCTTGTGGCTCTCCAGTTTACCAACATCGTTCCTGAATTGGACATCAGGACAGACACAACAGTTCAGCAGAAGTTGCACCAGTGCCAAATATAGAGGTAATATAACTTCCCTATTCCTACTAGAGATTCCCTTGTTCCTGCACCCAAGGATTGCATTAGCCCTTTGGCCACAATATTGCCCTTGGAACTCATGATCAGTTGCTTTCCATTGTTACCTCCAAGTCTTTTTCAGAGCCACTGCTTCCAAGGTTAGCATGGCCTTTGATCCTACATGGATGACTTTACATTTGGCCATATCAAAAAGTATGTTATTTGCTTGTGTAACGCCGAGAGACCCTGGTCGTCAGTGGGCAGGATTGAACCAGGGACCTCTGGAGCTTAGTGCATGAGCCTCTACTGCATGAGCAAAAAGCCAACTGGCTATTAGCTAAGGCTGTAGAGCAGACTCATTTAACTCTCTCTCTTTAAGTGGTCTTGGTACCACTAGATGGGACAGAACACTACACCCAGGTGTGTGGGTTACACTTGCACCCAGTTTACTAAGCAATCCAGATTGCTCTGTATTAGTGACCTGTCCTCTTCATTATTAGCAATTCCCCCATTCTTTGTGTCATCTATAATTTTATATTTTCCTTCAGGTCACTGATAAAAATACTAAATAGCGCAAGACCCACTAGTAGCACACCCAGTCAAAGATGATTCCCCTTTTACAATTATATTTTCAGACCTACCAGTTAGCTAGTTTTCAATCCATTAAACGTGTGTCATGTTGATGTACCATTCCAGTCTCATAATCAAAATGTTTTACAGTACCAGTAATAAGTTAAATGCCTTACAGAAGTCTAAGTATCTTATGTCAACATTTAGTCTCTCCCTGAATTCAGGATTTTATATCTATTTGCATGCTTGAGGTAACCTGACAGACATAAACTTACTTTGATACTGTACAGTTTTGTAAGATCACACACACACACACAATTTTTTTTTTTTTACCATGAATGGGAAATCCTTCATCTGCAAACAGACAAGGTTCAAGATTTTTCAGAGAACATCTGCCCTCAAGTCGTGCAAGTAGCTTTAAAAAAAAAAAGATAAAAAGACATTGTGTTAACTAAAAATAATGGGTCATGGGAATTAAGTTTATAAGATACAACAGAACCATAGAATTTAGTGTGTTTTCAATGATAGCTCTGTCAAGCAGAATAATTTGATTTTAAAATGCCTTTCTGCATACACGTGGCAAGCTCAGAGATTGGACAGTACAGTAACAGACGTTGACTTTCTATCTCTCCTAGCAACGAGCACCAGGATTCCATGGCGATAAGTGCCATGTAAGAACCTGTATTTACAAAACCACAAGAATGAGCTACTGGCAGATAAAAACTGCTGCAAGAATGGATGTCTTTGAAATATGGAAATGTTGCCATTTTATAGGATGAAAGGAAAGATGGTCCCTTTGTAACAGCCATCAGACAGTGACTTCAAACTAGTGATCTGGAGGGGAAAGGCTGTATTCAGTCTCCTGAGTCATCCAGTCCCTCAGCTCATATATAAGTAAAAGCGTCTTACATATTTCAACTTACATTAGATGTGGGACTCTGATGGGCTACAGATCCTATCACCTCACCATCACTTGTTCAAACACAGGCTGGTAGTGATCAAAAGTCATTACACGATGGCTGTTCAACAGCCTTTGTAAGGCAAGTGGGTGTTCTTGGGCCAGTTCTTAAATGGACAGGTGTCCACATTGCCAGCTATAGTGCCATTTGTTGTCTCAACAAAGAGACCAACAATTCAAGAAATAAACACTTTACCCACTGTTAGAAATGTCCTTCCATACATGGATTAAAGCACATTGGCAAAAAAGCTTGTACTGCTGCCAGAGTATACATCCTGAAGACAGAGCACTTCAGTCCATAAGCTCTAAATTAATGATTTTTAGAATAAAATAAATTCTGTACAAGTGCATCAAATCTCTCTCCTAGCCACATCCTTAGGGCACTCAGCACATAACTCTAAACATAACTTCCCAGCACACATTTCCTCCTCCTCCACACTATATTTGATGGACAACTTTTCCTCTGAATCTCCTTGCTATTGTCAATTTAAATTATTTAAAAACCAATTGTCTGTGTTTTTGTTTAATGGTAGTATAAAAACTCTAAGTGATGCTTAAATTGCTTCAAGAGGTTATGATGTGAGTCCAAGTAAGACACTTCCATGGACATTGTACCATTCCCTTCCATTAATAAAATGTCAATGTGTTTGCCTTTGTAACTGTTCTGTTCAGGTGTGTTGATAAGAGTCTTGTGAGATGCTCATTAAAAGTAGAATAAAATCACTTTAACAGACATTATACTGGCTCCATGATTCATGCATTTGTTCACTGCATGAAATATTTGTATAATACATGTTATATCCATAGTTACAGTTTAGCGACACTGCAACTTGTTACACTGAAAAAATATTATAGTATTCTGTATAATCAGGATCAGGAAAGAGACTGAATATAACTTGCTCATTTCCTGTGCTGTTGCTGTTCCCTCGCGCTTATGGAGTCTCTCCCTCCTATGTTTATATTCTCTCCATTCTCATCATCCTGCACTGCAACTTTCCCCTTTGTGAGTCTGGAGTCCCCTTCTGTCTTTGCTTACCTGCTTTCTCTGAACCATGACTTTTACTGCTCCACTGTGGTTAATATGATGGCAGCCAAGTGAAATTTACCAGAATATCAGGATAGGCAAGAACTCTAAAGAGTGTTTTAACACATTTTACATAGCTGTGAGACATTTTCATAGCAAATGGTTCATATTTACAAATGTCATACATTTTATATACATCCAGAAGATACCATTAGTCATTGAAAAGGTTAGATTGTTATCCTGCTATCTAGCCTCTTTCTCCTTACATTCTTTTGCTGCTACTTACTAGACAAAACACTCAGTCTACTTCGTTCTGCAAGTCAAATAAAGTTTACTGCAAATTTTACATAACAGTGTGACTGGGAACAGTAATATTATATGAATATCTGTTTTAGAGATCCAAGTCTTGCAAGATCATGGGATGCTTTACTTTGATGCTTAAGAAGTCCTCAGCCATCAGGAGACACAGGCTGTCCAGCTGAGACATTATGAATATATTTAAGACTTTTGAATAAACAGCCTTGCCTCTGAGATGATAAATTATTAGATTTTAGCTAAGTATGGTTTTCGAAGGCAAAGTTCCAATTGTGTTACCCTCCTTCAACCTAAAAAAAGGCATAAAGCGGGAGCAGCAAATAGATGCGTTTCTGTATTAGTGTTTATTAAAACATTATTAAAAGTTTAAGACTCATTTAAATCCAGAACACAAAGTGTGTTTAGGGCTCCCACAGCATCCTCAGAACCACCATGATATAATTAATTATTGCATTACATTACAGTGTTGCTAACTCTCATGATTTTTTCTTTTTTTTTTTGGTGAATGACAGGATTTTGGCTGGGCCTGGAGCCTGTCTTGAGATGATGTGAGAAGCTCCATCCTTTCTGCAAATTTGAACCCTGCCTGGGGGAACCTCCTCTGATTTGCTGCGTGCCTCACTTGCCTGCCTCCTCGGGCAAAGTAATCAATCAGAGCTGCTATAGCCAGAGCGCTCTCTCTCTCCCTCCCGTCAGCAATCTGAAGTCATTCTCATGGGGGAGCGCAAGAGACTGAAGGAGCCCAGCAGCTCTGCTCCCTATACCTCCGCTCTTTTGAGCAAAGGGGAAAGCTCCTATGCTCCTCCCCCTCACACCCAGCCTGGGAAGGGGCAGAAGAAGATTCTGTTACAGCTCCTCTTCACCCCAGGGTGAAGAGTCTAGGAGGAGCAGAGGTGAGGCTGTGGGGGCTGAACTGATGGGTTGTCGAGGGATGAGTTGAACTGATGTGGGGGAAGAACTGATGCAGGGACAGACAGGACAAGATAGATTTGGACAGTGGGGTGCAGAATTAATTACTGGAGATGTGGGTGTGAGAACTCCTGCTGTGGAGGTCAAAATCACCTTACCCAAGAATTTTGGAAGAGTGAGAAATAAAATCTCTCACACGCACTGTGGATGGGCAAGGGGAGTTAAAAAACAAAACAAAACAAGACAGATCAAAACTTACCACAATATAATCTTTTACAAAAAAAATTTTTTTGGAGTCTGACTTATGATTTTTGATCTTCTGAGGTTGGCAATACTGCATTTATTTATCACAGCACTGCTCATCCACTATTCTGAAATTCCTTGTACTAGAATGCCTCTCAACATGAATAGGGGAAGACTTAAGTATGTTTTGAGATGTTCTTGCTTTAAAGTAGGGGTGGGCGACCTGAGCCTGAGAAGGAGCCAGAATCTATCAATGTACATTGCCAAAGAGCCACAGTAATACGTCAGCAGCCCCCCCATCAGCTCTCGCCCCCAAGTGCCTCCCACCCACTGGCAGCCCCGCCAGTCAGAACTTCTCGCCTGCTGCAATCAGCTGTTTCGCATGCGCAGGAGGATCTGTGGGGGAGGAAGGCATGGCAGGCACGGGGGAAGGGGCACGGGCCTTGGGAGAAGGGGTAGACAGGACCTGGGGCAGAGCAGGGGGTTGAGCAGTGATTACCCCCTGGCACACTGGAAAGTTAGTATCTGTAGCTCCCGCCGCAGAGTCAGCGCCTATGCAAGGAGCTGCATATTAACCTCTGAAGAGCCACACGCGGCTCCGGAGCCACATGTTGGCCACCCCTGCTTAAAAGGGTATAACCCAATCTTAATGTTTAGCTGGTATAGTGTTCAAGTTTTTCTTTCTTTTTAAAAAATGAAGGTCTATGACATTTGGTAGTGTTCAAACTGAAATTATTCCCTACTTTTTAAATAGAACACACTTTATTGGAAAACTTAGTAGCATGGATGGTTCAACAACTCTCCTGATACAAATTAAGACAAAATTATATTCAACTAGCTCAGCGGTTTTGCATGGACAAGAAAATTCAGTTTACAATCTATAACTGAGATTTTCAGACCAGTGCAGGATTTAGCCACACAGCTTAAAAGAAATGGAAGATGTGAGGCTAAGTCCTTTGTACGGCTCTACAAATATAAGGTACCCTGCTATGATGGCTGAACATAGGCACCACTTAAAATTTCAGAGTAACAGCCGTGTTAGTCTGTATTCGCAAAAAGAAAAGGAGTACTTGTGGCACCTTAGAGACTAACCAATTTATTTGAGCATAAGCTTTCGTGAGCTACATCCGATGAAGTGAGCTGTAGCTCATGAAAGCTTATGCTCAAATAAATTGGTGAGTCTCTAAGGTGCCACAAGTACTCCTTTTCTTTTCACTTAAAATTTACCTGCCATATCACTGCATCAAAGATTACCTTAATATGCATTTGCTAGTTTGTATTGACTTGTGTTGAAATCATGTAATTGTTTTTTTTTTTTAAGTTTCCGTACATTATGAAAACTATAAAAATAAGTGTGTCTTAGAACTAATGGCTCCTTGGAATCTCAAGAGAATACGAAGTGTGCTGGAAACCTGCCTTCAGCTTTGCAGGTTCCTACGGTTTTACAATGATCTGCAAACGTGTACATATAGTTGTTCACATTTAGAGTTAGCTGCTGAATGCCAAGGTAATATAAGCAGTCTGACTACTTGATACAGCATTAATTCAAAAAAAGTGCCATTTCAGTACCAGCTAAATGTGCATCATTCTTTTTTTTTTTTTTAATCCATACTCTTTCCCTCCCCAATTTTCATTTTAGAATAGCAAATACTTTCTGTATAGGGCATTTCCTGGGGATTATTTAGTAGTTCTTGATTGCTCCAGCTCCTTTCATCCAGTCATTAGTCCTCAGAAAATATCTGATCATTATAGCTTAAATATGAACCTGTGGTTATATGAACTGAATGCTTACACATTTGATTGAAAATACCTATAGGTGCTTATCCTGAGCATTGAACAGATTATTCACAATTCATTGATGACAATGTACCTGTGTTTCTTTGAAACTTATGTTTCCTCCCTAGTTTTGAAGCAGAATCTCCACAGACACTTGCTTTGTTTGTATCATGCTGTGCACCGTGGGATTTCCTGGCAGGACCAACAAACAACTTTGCAACAAACTCTGTGAAAGGTCTGTCCACATTACACTTAATGATGCTGAAGCAAAACTATGTTCAGATAAGACACAAGAGAGGAGACCTTACCATCTGTGGTTGTTAAAGATCTACTGAACTTTTCACAAGAGCTGGGACTACCTAGTCTGGCATAGGCAGTTTTTAACATTTTTAACAGTTCTTCTGTATAGGGTAAAATATCTGTAGCGATCAAAGGGTCAGACTGCAATAACAGAAATCACTTGCTTCTACCTTCTGTTGTGAATGGCTTAAATAACCAGTTAACACAGCACTGCTAAAGAAAGTAACTGAACAGAAAAAACTGGAAAAGATACAGCAACATCTGGTCACTATTGAGATTGGCATGCCATAATTTAATTATGGGTGCTTACTTCTTCCTTTACATAACTTTTACCTTTTTTCCACAAAATGATTACCTTCCAGTACTTTTCTGTGTGTATCTACCTTAGTAAGAGAGTACCCTAGGTGCGTTTTCAATACATTTCTGAATAACTGCACTTTACATTCTATCACAGTGGATCTTTTTATGTGATTATTGGTGTGTAGAAAATAGGAGTCCCTGTGGACAAAAGACATCTGTCCATGTGGCATAAGCTTCAGGACAGGGGCCTTAAACTGTAAGTTTGCTGAGGAAGGGGCAGTGGGAAAATTTTTCAAAAATGTCAAAATTACTTAGGAGCCTCAGTCCCATTGAAAGTTAATGGTACTTCAATGGAATTCAAAGAGTTTTTCTTATGTCTTCTGGGAAGTACTCAGCACATTTTTGGGTGCCATTCAATAATATGCAACATTTCTAAGTAATATATGCTATACAGGGCACCATCAGATAGTGATTAAAAGTGTTAAGAGACCAACTGGTCAAAAAAAATGAGTGAGACATTTTTACCTTTCACAAGCTATTTGCTTAATAAAAATTCACTGACTCTCTTTGACAACCTTCACCTCTTATAGCTTCCATTGTCACTCCATTTTTACAAAACTCATTTTATGAGATTTTTGAAGAATTATTTGTTTGGCACAGAATTTTTTTACTTACAAGCTACACAACATTTTACAAGGAAGTGTTGCTGCAAGATTTAAAGATTTCCAGAGCATCCTTAGGGTCACAAGGTCAAAGAAAGAGGGTGGGTGGTGGGAGGGCAGAGAAAAACTGGATAAAGAATTAAAGAAACATAACCCTTGTTGCTATGAGCAAAACTTTACAGGGCAATTTTAAAATCTTCCAAGTTTTTAAAAAAGTGCTTAAGTGGCTACAATTCATCTCTACCTTCATGACCATTAAGGTGAACAACAGTCTCTCCAGGTTTATTGTGAGGCCCTGTCTACACTATAAAAATAGGTCTGTTTAACTATGTCACCCAAAGGTGTGAAAAATCCAACCCCTTGAGCGATGCAGTTAAGACAACCTAGCCCCCCCCCATGTAGCCAGCGCGAGGTTGACAGAAGAATTCTTCTGTCAACCTACCACGTTTTGGGGAGATGGACTACTGAAGTTCTACAAGTGTAGACAAGTCCCATGCATGGTTGGTACCAGTGCACACGGCGGGGGGCGGGGGAAATACGGGCCCTGATTCAGCAGTTCACCGTATTCAGCAAAGTGTTTAAACATTTGCCTAATTCTAGGCACATACTTAAGTCCCATTGGCCTCCACGGGAATTAAGCTCATACTTCAACGCTTGGCGGCGCGGCTGGAGCGGCCACGGGCGCATCTTTCCGGCGGGTCGCCAGCCCTTGGGTCGCAGCCCCGCCGCCTCCGGGCCAGGATGCCGTCTGCAGCGAGGAGAAACGGACGTGCCAGCGGGCAGACACGGCGGCCGGGAGCTCCTCGGTCCCCCGCCCCCAGCCGGCAGCACCCACACCCTAGGCTTCCAACGTGTCCGTGTCCTCCCCGCCCCAGGGGAACCCCTGCCGGCCGGCCGGCCATGGTGCTGCGAGGGGCGGCGCGACACCACCCGCGACAGGCCGGCCCGGCCCGGCCCACAGGCCACGCCCGTGCTGCGCTTCTCCGAGCCCCGCGTGGGGGCGGTGCAGGGGAGGCCAGGCCCGGGGCGCGGCGCTCCCAGGCAGGGGAAGGGGTCGCTGCCTCACCTGAGTGCCCGACTCCGCCTTCCGGAACCCGTCACTCATAGCGCTGAGGAAGGGGTGGGGGTGGGGACCGGGCCCAGCAGCAGCAGCGGCGCCTCCCGCCCAACCGCCTACTCGTCGCACATGCGCAGTGTACCACATCCCCGCGGGCGCACTTCGCCACCCTAGACGGGCACGACCCACCCTGCGGGGGCGGAGGGGGGGAGCTGATGCTGCGCATGCGCGGTGTCGCAGTATTTTGTTCTCTTGCGGTTGCGCCTGACGCGATTGGGTCGGTTCCCTGGGCAGCTCAGCACGCGGGAGCTCCAGCGTGGGGTTCAGGTTGTTATGGGGAGGGGTTAATTACCCACCTTGAATGGTCCTCGCTCTATTTAAATTATCTTCTGTCATCATCAGAGGCCAGTAATGTTAAGGGGGGAGATGTTTAATTTATTATTTGGTGGCCAGAGTGAAATACTTACATGTGAAATAGAAACAGTGGGCCAAAAGCAGCCCTGACAAAGTGCGTGCAACTCCCACTGAAGGCAATTACATCAGGCAGGAATTTAGGGTAACATTTTAAAATGTCAGGTTTCAGAGTAGCAGCTGTGTTAGTCTGTATTCGCAAAAAGAAAAGGAGGACTTGTGGCACCTTAGAGACTAACCAATTTATTTGAGCATAAGGTAGAGCTCACTTCATCGGATGCATACAGTGGAAAATACAGAATGCATCCGATGAAGTGAGCTGTAGCTCACGAAAGCTTATGCTCAAATAAATTGGTTAGTCTCTAAGGTGCCACAAGTCCTCCTTTAAATTTTAAAATGTGGGACTCTAACACCATACTTATGTGGCACGTTCCATGTGAAGATCTCAGAGCACTTTGCAAACATTACTGACTTAATCCTGACAACATCCTGGAAAAGTATGACTATCATTACTTGACAGGTGAATTCTGAGAAACAAGGGCATTGTCTAATAAAATTAATGGCACACATTGAATGAGACAGGAAATAGTTCTCCATGTAGCATATAGCTTTTGCCTGTGGAATTCACTCCTGCAACAAGTCAGACTCAGTCATTTCTATAGCTGATTTTGAAAAGGGTCTGGAAATTTTTACAAGCCATAATATTTGTTTTGGAATTATGTAGGCTAAAATGGGGTATACATATGCTTTAGGGCATAAACTGATCACTGCAGGGATCTGAAAGGATGTCCAGGGAACTATGTACATTATGGAGATTTTTCTGTGCCTTCACCAGAAGCTATGGGCAGGATACTGTACCGGACTTGAAGGGCCAATTTTATGATCTAGAATGACCCATCTTTTGTGGCTGTGTAGCTCCAGTTGTGAGAGAGGATAGACTGTAGGGAGACATGGGAAGCTCATTTGTAAGACCTCTCCTTACACTGGTGCAAAAAGGGTGGAAATAATAGCAAGATCATTCATCATATCTACCTTTCAGTGGGTGCTAATTCAGAGTCCAGCGATGATACTTTAAATGCCGGTGCACTCTAAAAAGTACCTAGTTTGAGTTGACGTAGTTCTGTTTAAACAGAAATACTTTAACATGGTCTAGGTACCTTTTAGAGCACGCCAGCAGGGTCTACACAGGGCACTTAGAACACAACACTTTAGAACATTCTACAATTTACACCCCTCCAGTCCCGACACAGACTAGTGGGGGTCGCTGAAGGTTAGCATTACAGGGGGTAGGACCAGCGTGGGTGGTGGGCTTTCACTCCCTCTCTCGGTCTCTGCTGGCTGGGGCTTTGAGGCTCAGTGCTGCAGTGAAGGACATGGAGCAGCTGGAGGAGGCCTTGTGGAACAGGGCAGGAGGAGGTTATGAAAGAGAGAGGGAATGCGAAAGAGGGAGAAGACAAAGAAGAGGATCCTGGGAAGGAGGTACAGGCCTGGGACTGGCAAAAGTTAATTAAGGGCTGTACATGATATAGGAGGGCAATTTGCCTAGGGTCAATCCTCCCCTTCTCCGGGTTTGGGGTAGGGTGGTGCCATGGGAGCAAGCAGGCATGTTTTGTTTCTGCTACACCCCCTTTGCCCCAAAAGTTCATCATCCACCACTGAGCCAGAGGGCACCGGAGATGCATGAATTAAGATGGATTGGCCTTTAATAATACATGGTGGGACTGCGATCAGGCACAATTGGTTTCATTTTCCCAAAGAAAGGCTCATCTTTCCCAAGTTTGGGAAACCGTTGTAAGGAATAGAACTTCAAGAACTGTGATGACTTCCTGAGGAAACTTCAATCCATCGGTGATCTTCCTGATAACACCATCCTGGCCACTATGGATGTAGAAGCCCTCTACACCAACATTCCACACGAAGATGGACTACAAGCCGTCAGGAACACTATCCCCGATAATGTCACGGCTAACCTGGTGGCTGAACTTTGTGACTTTGTCCTTACCCATAACTATTTCACATTTGGGGACAATGTATACCTTCAGATCAGCGGCACTGTTATGGGTACCCGCATGGCCCCACAGTATGCCAACATTTTTATGGCTGATTTAGAACAACGCTTCCTCAGCTCTCGTCCCCTAAAGCCCCTACTCTACTTGCGCTATATTGATGACATCTTCATCATCTGGACCCATGGAAAAGAAGCCCTTGAGGAATTCCACCATGATTTCAACAATTTCCATCCCACCACCAACCTCAGCCTGCTCCAGTCCACACAAGAGATCCACTTCCTGGACACTACAGTGCTAATAAACAATGGTCACATAAACACCACCCTATACCGGAAACCTACTGACCGCTATTCCTACCTGCATGCCTCCAGCTTTCACCCTAACCACACCACACGATCCATCGTCTACAGCCAAGCTCTGCGATACAACCGCATTTGCTCCAACCCCTCAGACAGAGACAAACACCTACAAGATCTCTGTCAAGCTTTCTTACAACTACAATACCCACCTGCGGAAGTAAAGAAACAGATTGATAGAGCCAGAAGAGTTCCCAGAAGTTACCTACTACAGGACAGGCCTAACAAAGAAAATAACAGAACGCCACTAGCCGTCACCTTCAGCCCCCAACTAAAACCCCTCCAACGCATTATTAAGGATCTACAACCTATCCTAAAGGATGACGCAACACTCTCACAAATCTTGGGAGACAGGCCAGTCCTTGCCTACAGACAGCCCCGCAACCTGAAGCAAATACTCACCAACAACCACATACCACACAACAGAACCACTAACCCAGGAACTTATCCTTGCAACAAAGCCCGTTGCCAATTGTGCCCACATATCTATTCAGGTGACACCATCACAGGGCCTAATAACATCAGCCACACTATCAGAGGCTCGTTCACCTGCACATCCACCAATGTGATATATGCCATCATGTGCCAGCAATGCCCCTCTGCCATGTACATTGGTCAAACTGGACAGTCTCTACGTAAAAGAATAAATGGACACAAATCAGATGTCACGAATTATAACATTCATAAACCAGTCGGAGAACACTTCAATCTCTCTGGTCACGCAATCACAGACATGAAGGTCGCTATCTTAAAACAAAAAAACTTCAAATGCAGACTCCAGCGAGAAACTGCTGAATTGGAATTCATTTTCAAATTGGATACTATTAATTTAGGCTTAAATAGAGACTGGGAGTGGCTAAGTCATTATGCAAGGTAGCCTATTTCCCCTTGTTTTTTCCTACCCCCCCCCACCCCCCAGATGTTCTGGTTTAACTTGGATTTAAACTTGGAGAGTGGTCAGTTTGGATGAGCTATTACCAGCAGGAGAGTGAGTTTGTGTGTGTATGGGGGTGGGGGGTGTGTGAGAAAACCTGGATTTGTGCTGGAAATGGCCCACCTTGATTATCATGCACATTGTAGGGAGAGTGGTCACTTTGGATGAGCTATTACCAGCAGGATAGTGAGTTTGTGTGTGTGGTTTTTGGGAGGGGGGTGAGGGAACCTGGATTTGTGCAGGAAATGGCCCAACTTGATTATCATGCACATTGTGTAAAGAGTTGTCACTTTGGATGGGCTATCACCAGCAGGAGAGTGAATTTGTGTGGGGGGGTGAGAAAACCTGGATTTGTGCTGGAAATGGCCCAACCTGATGATCACTTTAGATAAGCTATTATCAGCAGGACAGTGGGGTGGGAGGAGGTATTGTTTCATATTCTCTGTGTGTATATAAAGTCTGCTGCAGTTTCCACGGTATGCATCCGATGAAGTGAGCTGTAGCTCACGAAAGCTCATGCTCACATAAATTGGTTAGTCTCTAAGGTGCCACAAGTACTCCTTTTCTTTTTGCGAATACAGACTAACACGGCTGTTACTCTGAAACCTGTGATGACTGTGTGTCATAAATATAAAGGGAAGGGTAAACCCCTTTAAAATCCCTCCTGGCCAGAGGAAAAATCCTCTCACCTATAAAGGGTTAAGAAGCTAAAGGTAACCTCACTGGCACCTGACCAAAATGACCAATGAGGAGACAAGATACTTTCAAAAGCTGGGAGGAGGGAGAAAAACAAAGGGTCTGTGTCTGTCTGTATGATGTTTTTGCTGGGGACAGAACAGGAATGGAGTCTTAGAACTTAGTAAGTAATCTAGCTAGGTATGTGTTAGATTATGATTTCTTTAAATGGCTGAGAAAATAGCTGTGCTGAATAGAATGAATATTCCTGTCTGTGTGTCTTTTTGTAACTTAAGGGGTTGCCTAGAGGGATTCTCTATGTTTTGAATCTAATTACCCTGTAAGGTATTTACCATCCTGATTTTACAGAGATGATTCTTTTTTACTTCTATTAAAAGTCTTCTTGTAAGGAAACTGAATGCTTTTTCATTGTTCTAAGATCCAAGGGTTTGGGTCTGTGGTCACCTATGCAAATTGGTGAGGATTTTTACCAAACCTTCCCCGGGAAGTGGGGTGCAAGGGTTGGGAGGATTTTGGGGGGAAAGACATGTCCAAACTACGTTTTTTCAGGAACCCAGATAAAGTTTGGTGGTGGCAGTGGAAGTCCAAGGGTAAAATAGTTTGTACCTTGGGGAAGTTTTAACCTAAGCTGGTAAAAGTAAGCTTAGGAGGTTTTCATGAAGGTCCCCACATCTGTACCCTAGAGTTCAGAGTGGGGAAGGAACCTTGAAACTGTGTCTGGAATGTTCTGTGTGGCAGAGTCCAACAGGCGTGTTAGTTGTAAGAAATTGTACTTGGAAATTGGTTGGAGGATGA